AGTTTCTGAAATACTCAGACAAGCCCTTCTGGCACCAACAACCATGCCACGTTCAAAGGCACTCAAATCACCTTTCTTTCCCATACTGATGCTCGGTTTGAACTGCAGGAGATTGTCTTGACCATGTCTACATGCCTAAATGCACTGAGTTGCCTCTATGTGATTGGCTGATTAGAAATTAAGTGTTAATGAGCAGTTGGACAGGTGTACCTAATAAAGTGGCCGGTGAGTGTATAATGCAATAATTGTTCCACATTTAATTTATTGTAAAGAAGTCTGGGGAAATGCATGCAAAATCATTACTAATCCTATTTTTATCTTACAAAAAAGAGCCATAAGAATTATTACAAGAAAGCATTACTATCACCCTTTTAAAATTTTGTTTCATCAATTAAAATTATTAAAATTTTATGAGTTGGTTGAATATTGTATTCTGCAGGTTATGTATAATGTTCATTAAAATGTGTTGCCATCAAACATCCAATCTAATTTTGTTAAAAGGGAAAGCTTCTATAATTTGAAGGGACTACAAATGCTTATTAAACATAAAATCCGAACAAATCTGAAGGACAGATGCACTTCAGTGAAAGGTATGACTATAGAATGAGCTGGAAATGATTTTAAAACCATGGGATCAATTAATTCCTTCAAAAAAAAATGATCAAAGTAAAATTGTTAAAGAAATATGAAATTGTTTAATTTGTATTTGTGTGAGTCACTGTTTGAGAAGTTGAATTTTTTTTGTTTTATTTGCTTTATTTGTTTGAAATTAATATATTTTTTTGTAAATAGGAGCAGATAAGATTTTTTTCTTCTGCTGCCTTTCATTTTATTTGATTTGCATTGTTTTGTTGTGTGTAATGCATTTTTTTAATGAAACGAATAAACTAAACAAAAAAAACTACGTCAAAATGTGAATAAAAAGCTCCTTGTTTTTGACTGGTGCTTTATTTTCATCCCCACAAGAAAAGTGATTTCTTACCTGAATGTCTGCTGGTATTGAGAGATCATCTAAATGTACTATCTTGCCTTGTTTGTTGATTTCATGCACAACAAAATCAGAATACCTGAAAACAAACCGTGAACGAAGCGATTTGTTAAAACAAACTAAATTAAACCAGAAAAGCAAAGTGAGGGAAGAAGACAAACCTTTCTTTCAGGATTCCAGAGAAGCCCTTGTGGTCGCAGACATATTTCAGGATGCCCACGTCTATCTCAGTCTGGCCGTGCTTCATCATGTCTGCAAAGGTTTCTCCATCCTCTTCTTCATCACCTGCCTCCACCTCCTCCTCATCTTGGTTGGGAGCGTCTTCGTTTTCCTGTTCACTCTCAATTTTTGGCTTTTTGGAAGGTGTGTCTTCCTCGTCTTTGTCCTCAGAACAACCTCGCTTCTCTCCAGACTGGACAGGGAGAGGCACGGGCTCCGATTCAGCCATCCGAGCCAAACTGGGAAACACAGAAACAGAAAAGATTTTTACCAAAATCCTCCAAAACTAAAAAACGATAAGGGGCAATTAACATACCTGCAAACTCAGAAGGGAACAGGTGATAAACTTAGTGCTATTCAAAAACTCTACATTTTCCTGCCATTTAAACTGCTCTTGTAATGTATTTATTGAAAGGTAGAGCAGTGGCAGTCTCTAATGTTGGAATGTTTGTAAATGTTTAGTGAGTGAGCGTAGGGTGAGGGAAGGGGTTTCTCAACTTTTCAGCTTTGTTAGATTTTCACAAAAGATTTCTTTTCTCTGGACTTGTTTCACTGTCAGAGACCTGCAGGAGTGGTTCTTCAGCTGGGGGGTTTTGTCTGAGTTGTTGTAAAAAAGCTTCAGAGCTCAAAGCTTCATCTCATGGCTGGCTTTCAGATGACTGAAATGTGGCCATCTGGTCATGCTCTTTATGGTTTCCATGCTTGATGTTTTGTAGTTCCTGGATCTTCTGGGCCACGGTGTCTTGCTGAGTCTTGTTTTTTGCCTGGATGTTAGTTTGGATGTTAGTTTTTTCAGGTGTTCCTTCTTGCTTTAAAAAGATGCTTTGTTTGTTGAGCTCCTGTAAAAACACTTCGGACAACATCTTGTAAGCCAGAATATCTGTGTCATGGCTGGATTTAGGTTGTTGGTAAGATGTTGCCATTAATTTCTTGAGAGTTCTTCCTCAAAGCCTGGATCTCTGACATGCTTTGTAAGAGAACCTACTGATTTTCTGCATCAAACTGATGCTGGTTCCCTGTGGCTTGTTGTTGGAACGTCTTGACAAAGGGAGGCAACCTCCATTTGGAACTTGCTGTTGAATTTGTCGTTCAGATGTCTGGTCTCGTCCAGTTGTTTTAAGAGCTCCTCAGTTTTCTGTTTCTTTATCCGAAGTCCAGATGAAAGGTTTTCTTGGCTGATGATGTGAGCCACTTACAGTTCCTTGTAGCTGAAGAAGCTTCTTCTTCTTGTGTTATACTGTACTCTGTGAAGCAATCCTGGCAGAACCGAGTGTCTCTGCATCGCTGTAGTTGTGCATTCTCTGCAGTTCTTGCTGAACTTCTTTCTCTTTCGTGATGAATTTTTCCTTCAGAGATTTGTGTTTCTCCAACTGGGCCTTTGTTTCTTCCATTTCCTGTCAGAGCTGACAAGCCCCATGATTCTCATTATTACTCGTATTAATGTTAAAATACATCTGAGTAAGCTATTAAGTTTGAGGTTTAAATGAGAACGTTACTTTTTATATTAAGGTACAGACACGGTGACATTCAGAGGTATGAACAGGTGAGCTGAGATGTGGACTGTTGATGGAACAGTAGGTGTGCCTCCATGTAGCATAGATGTGACAAAAATCATTGACTAATCGACTAAAACATAATTGCATTATTTTTCACCTACCATCCAAAACTAAAGGAATTAGTGTGGAACGGTTGCTGCTGGACTTGTCTGACTCCTGGGGCTGGAATCTGATATGCCAGCACCACTTTCCATCAAAGAAGTGGAAGATTGGATTTCTGATAACTGGATTCCTGCTGATCGACGGAGGGGGGTTCCAGATTTATCAAAAAGTGATAGCAAACCTGACAGTGGTTTGAGGGGCTGTCGGGCACACTTGAAGGATTCTGCTGGGCTGGAAGTACACAGACTCTAAGCTGGGGAAAATAATTCGCAAACTGGATGTGATTCTGACGAGGATCGTAACCCAGGAGCGAGCCTCCAGCATGTAAGGATTACATCTGGGTGACGCTTCAGACGGTGAGAGGCGAGGAAGACACCAAATTCAGCTGATTGTTTTTTTTTTCCGCCACTTCAGAGTTGCAGTTAAGACATTTTAAAAACAGCAGGAAATTCAAGGCTGCTTTCTTCCAAAACAATTGGATTATCTATTTTGGCTCCCAGCAGCACAGCCTTGACGGCAGTGTTTATCTCAATCTCCCTAGAATGGAATGTCAACAAAGAGCTGGATTCGCTCCCACCCCATCACCCGTGTTGGACCCAGCCTCGGAACTCAGTTGGCTGAGGAGGAGGAAACTCTGAACTCTAGCAAACTCAGCAGAAACAATAACATCATGTGACTCTGGAGGCGGCCAGGGTTGGGTCCTAGCATGGACCCCACCCTCCGTCAACGTCACCTACTCCTCTGAACCCGCCCCATCTTACCTCCCTGTTATGTGTTGTTTGAACCCCCTCCCCCCACTTCCTTAGCTGCCTTGCACTGAGCGAATGTTTTTTTAAATGTATGAGTCTGTGTTTCTGTGTAAACCCAAGATCAGAGCTTCTTTTTTTAACTCACCTTTCCTATTGTGTGTATTCCAGGCAGAAAAATGTAGCACACCATTGTGCGAAAGACCCGGGACATTCGTTCTCCCATGTTTGTTATTTGTGTGTTTCTCCGGACGGATGTTCTAAACTGCAGTTTCGTTCTGCATTGCATCTTCGATGTTGTGTGTGAATGACAATAAATTATTCTGATTCTGATGATAGTTGACTATTAAAATAGTCATTAGTTGCAGCCCTACCTGCAAACACAACATTCATCTTAGCAGTTGATAAAATGTCGCAGGGCCTCATGTATCAACGGTGAGCACGCACAAAAACCTTGCATACACCATTTTCCACGCAAAACTCTAGATGTATCAAAACTGAAATGAACGTGGAAATGTGAGCAGACCCACGCCAACTCCAGGGCTGGTGTATGCACATTTCTGTGGTTCTGGTTCCATTGGAGACACTTAGAGGTGATTCTGAGAAACTGTTCATGATGTGAAAATGATTAATGTTCACACCACACATGACTAACTATTATTACATTCACATGGACGCAGTTAGATAAAGGACGCACGAAGTTGTGCCAAAAATACATTTAACAGGAACGAATTCAGCCTTACTGGAGGATATAATAAATAGTGTAACACGCAGAGCATTTATTTATAAACAAACATAATTTTGTGAGCCACGATGACAAGTGGCTCATCAGCCGTTTTCAGGAATAATCCTTTTTTACTTATGCACTGCTGTGCTCTGGAGCGTGACACAGCGAGGAGCCATGCGCCACGTGTACAGCAGCAGCGATCAAACTGGGGTTCCACAGGAGCTTTCCAGAGGGAGCTGGCAGACCGATCAGGACTGTGCTGGTCCAGTCCACCCAAAGCTGAGTCATGCCCAATGGAATCGTCTCATCGATTTGATTCTGACTCTCCAACATCATATCACATCATGAAAACTCTCCACTGAGGCAAAGAGACTCATTTTCTTCATATCAGCTATGAAATAAACAAAGATCTATGTTCTACCAAACATCTGAGTTCCTCTGTGTTTACAGTAATTATGGTAATAAACTCCTGCGCAAAGTTAATATTTTCAGTCTCAGAATGGATGGATGAGCTGGTTGCGCAACACAGCAGCTTCACGTGCGCGCGTGCACACACACACACACACTCTCTCTCTCTCTCTTTGCGTGATAAACATATTTTATTCCTATTCTTACTTAGGATTTTTTTTCTCACTCACGTTATATTTAATTCATTATTTTCCTGACTAGAAATCATTTCTGATCGTGCAGGGATCACTCAAACGTGTCCTTCACACATACAGGAAGTAATTAGCATCTGTTAATGAAGGCGTGTCAGGGGAGGTGTATTACCTGCGCTCAGTTCCACGTTAATTGTGAGGTACAAAAGAAATGTGCGTGGATTTAGGCGTAAGCACAGTTTGATATATCTGGATTTTTTGTGCATACGCCGTTTTCTGGATTTGACTGTATGCCACGTTTCAGTAAGTTTGGCGAGAAGTGGATATGGAGGGACGCAAAAAATATCTCTCGACTTGATCTGGCCTTATTTAAATAAAAATGACTACATGCCATGAAATTCTTAGAGGGGCGGGCCGTCTCGTTGGCGGGGGGGCCCGCCCCGCCTGTATAATGGTAGGGGAAACACTGCACAGGTATCTCATGTTCTGGTGGTTGACCTTACCACTGTCATAAATGGGCCTGGCTACGAGCAGTGTGTGAATGTGAGGTCCTGTTGATGTTGGTCTAACACCCAGGTGTAGAACTCAGCTTGATTTTCAGTGTCAGCTCCTGACAGTTTCTGCAGCTGGACCTTGAAGGGATGCCACTTACTTATTGTTATGGAGAATCCGTACAAGGGACGACTGGCTGACACCACATTCTGCTGCGAGACGTCGTGTGCTGCATTGTGGACTTTTCGCAAAGGCTGCCAAAACCATTGTGGAGGTTTCTTTGCCTGTGGCGGTCTTCGGACGACCACTACGTGGCTTGTCATCCACAGTCCCGGTTTCTCTGAATTTGGCTATGAGGGATGCGACAGTGCTGTGTGAAATTGGTGGTCTTTCAGGGTGTCGATTGTTGAAGTCTGCAGCTATGATACGGCAGCTGCGTTTACCTGACATCAGAATCACCTCAAGCCTCTCTTCTTTCGTCAAATCCATTTTCATTGCCTGTGACGAACAACAAATGTTTTGAACTCTCTGTGTTGATAACTTCTGAACTTCAAGAAATACTGCATTTCTGAATGCGGCAATTCATTTCTGGCCTTATTTGATATGCAGCATGACCCCCTTCCCATTTGACTTTAATTCAATATTGGGTGCTATCAAGATGTTCCGGACAGACTATAAGATTGGTCCCCTCATCCATTGCTTGCTGGAGTATTTAGATATTTTATTTTTGTTTTTGTTGTGTTTTTTCTGAAAGACAGGGTGTCCTGACTCTTTTGACTTACTCTGTATAACTGTACGACTACTGTACAACATAGCACAGCTGCTATGCTTCAATCTAAGCAGTAATAATTAAACATTAAAAGCTAACATGTAATAAAAGAAGATTTCCAGGTGGTTTACAAACAAGATAACTGATAATAGGCAACCACTTACAGTTTACGGGGTTGAAAAAGAGAGTGGTGCAAAATTAGAGTTTTCTTCCACGTGTCACACACTTGCAGAGTCTTCTTAGCTGCCCAGAGCTTCACACGTTTCCTTAAACACAAAAACACACGACTTCATCTTGCTACAAACCTACTAGCTAACCTGTTCCAACAGAGTCAGCTACAGCTAACGCAGCCGATGACAATTTACGTGCAAAAGGTCATTATGAAATTAATTGTCGGTACAAGAAACATTAACAATGCTAGTATTTTAAAATAATGAAATCTGTTGGTTTAACCTGTATTTGATGATATTCCAGAGATAGCGGATTCTCATAACTACCTTTCCTCGCCACACGCGTGCCTGAAAAGTTCCGGAAACACATCAACGGCTAAAGCCCGCCCCCGACAATGATTCGTCGAAGCCGTTGTCAGTCACAGAGTGATGCGTTCATGAAACTCGAAACACGATACATCTTCATACATGTAGAATTTTATTAATGTTCACTGTTAATTATTGATACTAAAATATGTCTTTAGACAACTAGAGTTTATTTAAAACATTATTGTTCTACTGACAGTAAATTAACCACTTTGTGAGTTTTCATCACTGTCTGTTAACTAAATGACATGAGACAAATTTGTCGATTTGAGCAGACTGAAAAAAGTGTATTGACTAAATGAAAAAAAATAAAAATCTGTCTGGCAAAAATAAAATTTTTAACGATATTGAACAGTCATCACTGGTTTATCTTCAGGATCTTCAGGCCTTACAACATTGCATTGTAAGACCTTTATAATTTTTTCTTGTTACAAACAAGAAAACTTTGATCAGTGTAAGTTTACTGTTAACTTTGAATTGAAATGTTTCGTTTCTCCTCCAGGTTTACTGCGATGCATCAGGTCAAAAACTAATTTAAAGAAAGGCCATTTCTTGCATCATCAGATGAAAAGCGAAAGATCTAGTGTGTCCACACCCTTCAAACATTATAGTAAACAGTAAATTTTTCTACATTCTATTTGTCAAACTTCTAAATCGTCAAAATAACCAAAAATAGAAAGTTAAGTTGCAAATTTATAAACATTTTAAGTTTTTTTCTGCAATGTTGTTTATTTATCCATATTAACAGCACATGAACCAGTAAAAACCTGTCGTAGGATTGATACAGTTAGATGCTATTATAGCAGCTGAAAGGCAAAAGCAAAAACAGACAATGGTAAACAATGCAGAGGTTATTTTGTTTGTGTCTGTCTGGTAACAAAACATTTCATGAACCAGTGCACAAATTTTGAATGAATCTTCAGTAAATAATCACCAGATGTGTCAAGGGATTAACTATGGCTGCCACAAGCAACTGGATTAAAAATAAACCAAACAAAAAAATAATTGTAATTCAGTCAACTTTACATTATGCTCAAGTTTGGTGTGGCTGTGTCATTCTCATTCACAACACACAGTACTACTTATTGTGTGAGATCTTTACATAAAACTTGAGCATCATTATTATGGTCACTCACTGAATGTGTCACCTTGTTTGTCTGTTAGTAAAATATTTTGTGACGTATTTTAATGAAACTTTCAAAAAAGTAATCCCTTGAGGTAGCTGAATCAAGCAAAAGACTATCACAGCTAATCAACGTTAGCCAACACATAAATAGCTATGACAGATATTGACATACAATGATGCAGATTGTAGTCATTACAAACACACACACTGAGTGTGGCATCTCATGACATTACAAGAGATTAGGCTTAAGTGAAAGCTATAAAGTAAGAGGACAGTTAAAATTTAAAAAACAAAGTGTGTGTGTACCACAAGGATAACTATGTGTGTATCTGTGTGTGGGCTGGATTTAAGGAATGGGTTAAATGTTGAACTGAACCAATGCAAAAACATGTCAGTTTACAATAAGATACAAAAAAATAAAGTCATTTTGAGTTGTTATACGGTGGACATGGGATGTTGATGGTTTGTAGAGATGTGGTAAAAGGCTGAGGTGTTAAAAAACGATTACTGTTATATTCTACTGTAGCCTTAGATAGCTATTACATAAAGTAAGAAGGTTTAACAGAAATAAAATTATTTTTGATCAAATGGAAAGTAAGAAAGGGGTAACATAATATAATCTTAACTCCAGCCTACTCCTTTTCATACAAGATGACCCTGTAAGTTGTGTGTATATACACTTTGTTGTTGTTGTCCTTTTGTGCCAGTATTGAATTAAAGATTCTATTCTATTCTATTCTATTCTATTCTATTCTATTCTATTCTATTCTATTCTATTCTATTCTATTCTAGCTGAAGTTCACGGGTTTGCGCGAGGTTCCTGCTTTGACCGCCAGAGGGGGCGCGCGTGACGTGAACGTGTGTGAGGCGGTTGAGCCCAGTGTTGCCAGGTGTACGATAATTATCGTATTTGTACGATAATTTTGCCCTCTGTACGATGTACGATCAATAATCCCAAAAATCCCATAATGTACGATAATTTGACCGCTTCAGAGTATGACGTAATCGACCCGACACGCAGCTCGCTGACATAAGGTGGCGGGTTGTGGAACAC